GGATTCGCAGCGGCTACGCCTCCTCTGGTGGCCACGCCCCTAGCGCGCCTGGGTGGACCCGCAGCGGCCACGCCTCCTCCAATGGCCACGCCCTATCAGGTCTCGGGTGGACACACAGCGGCCACGCCTCCTCCAATGGCCACGCCCTCTCAGGTCTGGGTGGACACAGCGGCCACGCCTCCTCCAATGGCCACGCCCTATCAGGTCTGGGTGGACACACAGCGGCCACGCCTCCAGCAGACACTCCCTTAGCAGGCCTGGGCTGCTGTGATGCGTCCTCCTCCGCGGCTGCTTGACATCCTGGCCTTCACATCAGCTAAGGGAGGTGTTTATAAAGCTGAGGACCACTGTTCTGTTTTTTATTTTATTTTTTATTTGAGACGGAGTCTCGCTTTGTCGCCCAGGCTGGAGTGCAGTGGCGTGATCTCAGCTCACTGCAACCTCCGCCTCCTGGGTTCAAGCGATTCTTCTGTCTCAGCCTCATGAGTGGCTGGGATTTCAGGCACGCGCCACCACGCCTGGCTAATTTTTGTATTTTTAGTAGAGATGGGGTTTCACCACGTTGGTCAGGCTGGTCTTGAACTCCTGACCTCAAATATTCCGCCCACCTTGGCCTCCCAAAGTGCTGGGATTACAGGCGTGAGCCACCGCGCCCGGCCCACTTTTCTGTTCTTAAGGATTTTAACATAGAAATGAAATCCAGCCTTGCCTGAAACCCTCCAGCCCTTGAGTTCTCTGGGCTCTAGGATGTGTGTCTTCAGAAAAGGGCGCGAGCTGGAAACCACGTCAGTGGCCGAGGACACCTGGCCCCTCCCCTCTCCGCCTGCACGTGGCTGCCCAGTCCAGGGCGGGCTCCCAGGTGCTCGGGCACAGGGCACATCCAGCAGCTGGTACTGTGCTTTGCAAATAAATGAGAGTCGTATTTCCTTTTAAAATCATTATTAGTTTTTTGCAAGTGAGAACATTTAAATCAGGCAGTTTTGTTAGAAGCATTAGGTTTTCCACTTAAACTACAAAGGTTGAAAAGTGAACTGCGTTGCATTGTGAATCCTGGCCTGCTTGGGGTCCTTCTGTGCACTGTTACAAGGCAGGGTGTGATTAATAATCTCTTCCAAAAGCATCAGTGTGCCTGCTCTTACGGTATGACTCCCTCAAAGCCCAGACATGCAGCTGATGCCTCCTTTTAGTGCCTGAGAAGAGAGAGTATTTAAGGATCCTGCCAGCTTGAGCTCTATGCAGCCTCCACTCTCTTTAGAAGCGTGATGTTTGGTAATTAGGTGGAGCCCTGAAATTAGACTGCACGTGGGGTTTTGCTTTCGGCAGTGAGTGAAGATGCTTGCAGCCCTGGTGTGTGCACACTCACACATGCTCCTACCTGGCTGTTGTACCCTCTCTCTTCCCAGCCCAGCCCCGCGATTCTCCCGTGTTTTTTCCCATGTTGTACAGCAGGGGAGGAGACAAATGTGTAACTGGCAGGAAATCCATTCGAAACGGAAACTTAATATAATCGCTGCCAGCTGTTCAGAAAAAAATGAGAGCCAGCGATACTTTGTTAAACACCTAGCCTGTCCCATTTTCGCAGAGATTGGTTTCATAATAAGCTTGGTTCAGTGGTTTTATTTCCCAGTCCTTGGGAGCTCAGAGTTCTCATCCACTGGGGCTTGGCTGGTTTGCCTGTCTTGTTTGTGGTTGGTGCCAGTTGATGTAAACGCCTCACTGCCTGGCCTCACCCGCCCGAAGGGGGCTCTGGGCTCCGAGCCATGTGGACTTGAACATCCCAAAGGGCACTCTCCTTCACTTCACCACTGTGGTCTGTCCCCTCCCCGGGTCTGGGATGAGGATGGTTTCTGGCCTCCCAGCTGCTGAGGCCTGACACCCAGGCCATTCGCGAACGTCTCTCTCGCCCTGCCCACATCCTATCAGATGCCGGTTGCTGTTAATTCTAGACTTTGAAGCCCCACGGCTGGTCTCACCTTTTCCTCTGGGTGGGTGGCCCACAGCTGTTGGGGTGTTCCCTGCTTCTGGGATCCAGAGCCATAGTCTTAGAGTGGCCTGTAAGTCCTGGCACGGTGCCTGGCACACTGTGGGTGCCCAGCAGCTGTTTGTTGAATGAGTGTGCAGAAGGGCTCCTGAGCTTGCCCACTGTTGCCGCTTCCTGCTCCAGGGAGTCCAGACGCACAGACGCACAGAGTCCCAGCACCTGCTCCCCTGCCCCTCTGCTGTCCACATTGCCTCCCTGAGCCCCTGACCGCTGCAAAGCCTCTTCCCCACTTCCCTCTGCCTGAAAACCTTCTTTCCCCAGCCCCCCAGCCCACGTTTTGCCTGGCTAATCCATTCCTCAAATCTCAACTTGGCTTAAATCTCCTGTCCTCAGGGGGCCCTTCCTGGATGCCCCCTTGCCCCCCAGATTCAGTCATCCGGTTACTGCTTTTGTAGCGTTCTGCACTCTTCCACCAGGACCCCGTGGTGGGCCAGGCCCGTTTCTCCCCCTCTATCCCACAGAGAGCATAGCACATCCACTAATTCACTCAACGTATCAGGTTCCACCATGTGCTGGGGACTGGGCCAGGCACGAGCCCAGGCGTGGAATCATCACACAGAATTGTACATTTGCAATGTGATGAGAGCCACGGGGGAGAGCCCACATGGGCAACAGCACAGGGCTGGGGGTGTCAGGCAAGGATCCTGGGAGGAAGTGGCTGGGGCCCCCTCTCCATCCCTCATCCTCTAGGATTCAGGCCCCTTTCAGGCCCACCCCGGGGAAACAAGGCCTCCTAGTCAGGGCTGAATGTGCAGTGGAGCCCTGTCTGGACAGGCTACCCCTCCTGACGAAGTGGGAGGTGTTGGCGTGGGCAGAGGAGCCAATCTTGAATTCTCTCCCCCGCTCTACCTCAAGCTGCCATGTGGAATTGCAGGAGACCCTGGAGGGAGCAGAAAACCAGGCTCGGCCGAAGCCACCTCTGCGCCACGGCTTCCGGGTTCCCAGTGTCTGCTTCCGTTCTTATTCCTGATTAGCTGTGCCCCTGCCCGGCCAGGTCAGGGCACAGGGAGACTCCTCTTGGTGGCAGGTGTGTGAAGTCTGTGCCGGT